ACCGTTGCAACGCCCGTCCTCTGACAGATTGCAAACAGGCACGCCTCACACGGGCCCGCTGTGGTCACGCTGCCCAACTCACGGGGCCAGCCTCTGACCTCAAGGCACCACAGGCACACACTCACACACATCAACACCACACGCACCACACACTTGGCATGACCATTCCTCAGCGGTAGTCACCTTGCCTTGCCCGCTTTCTGCACGACGGTGAAACTCAGCACAGCCCGTCCTCTGACAGTCAGCACATGGGCGCGCCTCAAACGGGCCTGGGTCACGTTGTTCACCCTCACAGGTGCAGCCTCTGACTTCAGCGCACCACAGGCAACTCTCCCTCAGGGGACACCACTTGCACACAACTAACCCATGCGACCTCCAACATGCGTCACACACCCCTGTCTGTCTATCAGCACTGTGCATGCGCTTCAGGCTCACACAGGCGTATGACTGACCGCTACCATGGGACGAATGCAGCAAGAAAGCCAAGCAGGAGCAGCATCCTACGAACACACAACACCACATACAGTCACACATTCACGCACGTGTCTTTTGTTCATGACTGGCACTTGCCACAGCCTTGCCAATGCGGGGGAGTGTTGACGAAAGACATTGGCGCCCCTGTGTCACTTTGTGGTTTATTCATGTTCGACTTGCTTTCTTGTTTTCGTCCACTTCCTCTACAAAATTTCCTCTTGTGTTCACCCACCAATACAATGGTCGACAACGCACATGAGAGAACAGCAACCACACAGCACACAGCCACACCATCACAGACACACACACACGCATACAGCCAGTCCATGTCTTAACAGCGTCATCGTCGCAGCATAGAGGAGGGAGCCAAGCAGCTCGCGGAACGGCACGTCCGGGAGTGGCTCCTCCTTTGTCGGCTGGCTTGTCGACGTAGCCCGTGCAGAGCGGCGTGCCGACGGGCTTGCAGTCAGCCATGCCGAAGGTCTCCAGCACGCTGCGCAGGTAGTGCTCCTGGCTCATGGTGACGGTCCTGGCCTTGCGGTCGTGCTGCACCTTGATGCCGAGACAAATGTCTGGGCTGCCCAGGTCCTTCATCTTGAAGCGCTTGGAGATGGCCTTCTTGAACGCGGCCATGTCGCTGTCGCTGTCGGCGAAGATGAGCAGGTCGTCCACGTAGACGGCAACCCACATCACCTTGCCACCCTTGCAGGTGCGGCGGTAGATGCAGGCGTCCGTGGCTGTGGCGATGAAGTCCTGCTCGCGCATCCAGGCGTCCAGCGTGTGGTTCCACAGGCGCGGGCTCTGCTTCAGGCCATACAACCCGCGCTTGAGGCGCAGGACCGTATTCGGCGAGAAGATGCCGTCGACGGCCGGTGGCTGGACGTAGATCTCGTGATCCACGGGCGCGTTGAGGAACGCCGTGTTGACGTCCATCTGCTGGATGTCCATGCCACGCGCGACGGCCATGGCGAGCATGGTGCGGATGGCTGCGATGGTAGCCGTCGGGGCAAAGGTGTCCGTGTAGTTGACACCGTGGACCTGGGAGTAGCCTTTGGCAACCCAGCGCGCCTTGTACTTGATCACCTTGCCCTGGTCGTCACGCTTCCTCCGAAAGATGACCATGCTGCGGAGCAGCTTGTGGCCCTTGGGAAGGTCAGCGCGAGGCACGACGTCGTAGACGTCATTGGCCTGCATTGCCGCAAACTCGTCCAGGATGGCTTGGCGCCACTCCTCAGAGTCTGGCGAGGCAAGCGCCTCCTTGACGGTGGCTGGCTCAGCTGACGTGGCAACACTGCCAACAGCGATGTCTGGTAGATGACCACCCACTGCTGATGTCTTCTCCCCCGTACCAGCAGCGCTGGTGGCAACGTGACACGTGGTGGTTGAGCCACCAGAGGTGTCCTTGTCGCCGAGGGTCTCGGACACCAGCAGCTGGTCCCAGACGGAGCCGCCAAGGGCGCGTGGCTGGAGCTGCGGCTCCCCCGCACGTGGTGCAGTGGGAGCGCCGGTGGCACTGTCCTCGGTTGAACGCTGAGCGGTCTTATTGGCATGCGAAGCAGAGGCACCGCTGTTGTGCTCTTGCTGCTGCTGAGAGGAGGCGGCGTCCTTGTTCTTGATGGCGCCGAAGCGAGCGTGGATGGTGTGGACAACGCGTCGCGTGTCCGGCATCCAGACGACGTGGGCCTGGTCCTCCTCGGCGAAGCCGACGTAGACGCCGACGCGTGAGCGTGGGTCAAGCTTGTGCCGCGTGCTGCTCTTCTCCACATGCACGTAGGTCGGCGAGCCGAAGACGCGCAACAGGCTGACGTCGAAGGGGTGCCCAGTCAGGGCCTCGAACGGTGACTTGTCCTTGAGGCTCCTGCGTGGCGCGATGTTGTGCAGCAGCGTGGCGTGCTGCACGGCGAAGCCCCAGAACGGCTTGTCCAGGTCCGCAGCAAACAGCATCGTGCGCGCCGTCTCAAAGAGGGTGCGGAAGGTGCGCTCCGCGGATCCGTTCTTGGCCTGCGAGTGCGGTGGCGAGAAGCGCTGCTTGATGTCGAAGGCCAGGCACAGGTCGGTGAAGTCCTGGCTCTTGAAGACGGCGTCGCTGTCCGTCTGCAGCGTGGCGCCTCGGAGCGCGTTGATGACGTGACGGTCCTTGCGCAGCTGCTCCAGGGCCGCACCGACGTCGTTCTTGTGCCGGATGAGAAACGTCCAGGCGAAACGCGTGCAGTCGTCGATGAAGGTCAGCGCGTAGCGTGCACCTCGCAGCGACGTCTCCTCCAGCGGACCGGCGATGTCGGCGTAGAGCAGCTGGCATGGCCCAGCGCTACGTGGAGCAGACTGCTTTGGGATGGAGGCGCGCGTGCTCTTGCCAAGCGCACATGGTCCACAGGTGACGATGTGCTTGGAAGAGGCCTGGGCGATCTGCTGCCGGATGGCGTCAACGGCCGCGCTGCTGCGATGGCCTAGCACGTCGTGTGCAGAGGCGCCCTCGTCAGCATCCTCGGCTTCCCCGTCGCTGCTGTGCACGAGCTCCCCCGCAAGCGCCGTGGCTTGTTGGGAGGTCGTGGTGCTGGCGTAGAGGAAGAGATGGCCGGTGTCCTTGGACGGCAGCAGAGGCACGCTCCATGTGGCAAACTGGATGCGGCTGTCGTCCGCAGCAATGACGACGGAAGCACCACGACGCGCGCGAGTCACCAGGTTCAGCGCCAGAAGGTTGTACTTGATATCGGGGACATGCAGCACGTTCTTGAGCGTGATGGTACCTGGAGCGCCGTCTGTGCCAGTCACGCGGAGCACGGCGTCGCCCTTGCCAATGACCGTGACGGCCTGGCTGTTGGCAACGGTGACGTGCTGCGTGACGGCGATGTAGTTGGTGAGGAGGGAGGCGTCGCTGGTGATGTGCGCCGTGGCACCGCTGTCAGCGAGCCACAGCTGTGGTGGCACTGGTCCGATGGCGTGGCCCTCCTCGCCCTCGGGCTGCAGCATGAGGGCATCGTGGTGGATGGCGAAGGTCTCCACGCGCTGAGGGCCGTGGCTGACGACGGCCGCCTTCTTGAATGGAGCTGCTCCTCCGTGCTGCGGGCGAGAGGATCCTGGCCGCTTGCCGTTGCCGTTGCCGTGGTTGCGAAGCGTAGCCAGGATCTGCCGCACGTCGATGACGTGATGCCGCTTGGCCGCCTGCAGCTTGCGGCACTGCTGCGCGCAGTGGCCGCGGAAGTTGCAGAACGCGCAAGTCACGCGCTCTGCAGGTGGACAGCATGGTCCACCGCTCGTGTCGGAGGGCGACGTGCCAGTGTGCATCGGCGATGCAGCGAAGGAGCCAGAGCCTGGCCCACCGATGGCGAGCACAGGCGTGCGCTTCTTGGGACGATGCAGGCGGCGCTCCTCCTGAATGAGGTCCGCAGTCATCTTGGACAGCGATGGCGGCGGGTCCTCGCGCTCCATGAACCGCATCGCCACATCAAACTCCGCGGGGAGTTCATTGCGGACGAGGGTGCGCAGGTCGTCCTCCGGGATGGACACGCCGGCAGCAAGGAGCTGCGAGTTGATGTCCGTGATGCGGGACATGAACGTGTCGACGGTGTCCGTGGGCAACCAGGTGGTCGAGGAGAGCTGCTGCCTGAGACGACTGACGTGGTCCTTGCCGCTGCGGATGTAGCGCTCGCGGAGGCGGCGCAGCGCAAGCACACCGGAGCGGCCACGGTTGTCGGTGATGGCCAGCCGCAGCGGGTGTCCCGTCAGGACGCCAAGGAGGAACGCGAAGATGGCTGCGTCAACCTGTGGATCACGGGGATCCAGCAGGCCAGAGGCTCGGGACGCCACCTGCGCTCCTCCGCTCGGAGTGGCGGAAGAAGGGAGAGAGGAAGAGGAGGAAGATGGCTGAGCGCCGTGGTCGTCGCCATCGCCCTCGTCGTCGTCATCGTCGTCGTGGTCCCCCGCGTCGTGGCGGACGCCAGTGCGGCGAGGGCCGCGTTGAGCGCGGGAGCGAGTGCGGGGACCCGAAGCACCGTGGGTGCTTGGGCTCGGCGATGAGGCAGCTGCTGGAGCCTGCCCGTCTCCTTGGTGGTCAGCACCACCCTCGGCGATGATGCCAGCGTCGATGCCAGCGGCGATGAGCTTGGCCTCGACGGTGATGAAGAAGAGGTTGGCATCCTGCTCAGCGCCAGCGAAGACCTTGATGCCGTCTGCGCTAATTGGACTGGGTCTCATAATCTGTTGTAAGTTCATGGTGATGGTGCTGTTGTTGGAGACTTGTGTGTGTGTGTGTGTGTGTGTGTGTGTGCAGAGTGTGCTGTGTGTTGTGTGGGAGATTGTCTTGGCAAGGGGAAGTTGTGTGTGTTTACTTGAGTTGTGAAGCAAACAAGGATGTAGGATGAATGAACATGAACTGAGAGACACTCTCACACATAGACAGAAAACTGGAGGAGAGAGAGAAGTGCCACGTGGCAAAACAACCAGAAACGCCCGTTTCTGGGCGCACGTGCACAGAAACGTTTACAGCAGAATTTGCTGACTCAGCAAGCATTGACACTGGAACAGTGATGTCAACACCAGCCACGCGCCCTTGGCGGTTCCGTCTGGGACCAGCTGCTGTTGTCCGAGACCCTCGGCGACAAGGACACCTCTGGTGGCTCAACCACCACGTGTCATGTTGCCACCAGCGCTGCTGGTACGGGGGAGAAGACATCAGCAGTGGGTGGTCATCTACCAGACATCGCTGCTGGCAGTGTTGCCACGTCAGCTGAGCCAGCCACCGTCAAGGAGGCGCTTGCCTCGCCAGACTCCGAGGAGTGGCGCCAAGCCATCCTGGACGAGTTTGCGGCAATGCAGGCCAATGACGTCTACGACGTCGTGCCTCGCGCTGACCTTCCCAAGGGCCACAAGCTGCTCCGCAGCATGGTCATCTTTCGGAGGAAGCGCGATGACCAGGGCAAGGTGATCAAGTACAAGGCGCGCTGGGTTGCCAAAGGCTACTCCCAGGTCCACGGTGTCAACTACACGGACACCTTTGCCCCGACGGCTACCATCGCAGCCATCCGCACCATGCTCGCCATGGCCGTCGCGCGTGGCATGGACATCCAGCAGATGGACGTCAACACGGCGTTCCTCAACGCGCCCGTGGATCACGAGATCTACGTCCAGCCACCGGCCGTCGACGGCATCTTCTCGCCGAATACGGTGCTGCGCCTCAAGCGTGGGCTGTATGGGCTGAAGCAGAGCCCGCGCCTGTGGAACCACACGCTGGACGCCTGGATGCGCGAGCAGGACTTCGTCGCCACAGCCACGGACGCCTGCATCTACCGCCGCACCTGCAAGGGTGGCAAAGTGATGTGGGTTGCCGTCTACGTGGACGACCTGCTCATCTTCGCCGACAGCGACAGCGACATGGCCGCGTTCAAGAAGGCCATCTCCAAGCGCTTCAAGATGAAGGACCTGGGCAGCCCAGACATATGTCTCGGCATCAAGGTGCAGCACAACCGCAAGGCCAGGACCGTCACCATGAGCCAGGAGCACTACCTGCGCAACGTGCTGGAGAGCTTCGGCATGGCTGACTGCAAGCCTGTCGGCACGCCGCTCTGCACGGGCTACGTCGACAAGCCAGCCGACAAGGAGGAGCCACTCCCGGACGTGCCGTTCCGCGAGCTGCTTGGCTCCCTCCTCTATGCTGCGACGATGACGCGCCCAGACATCTCAGCGGCTGTCTCCATCCTGTCTCGCCGTATGCAGCACTTCGGCATGGACCATTGGAAGGCTGCCAAGCACCTTCTTCGCTACATCAAGGGCACCTTGTCCTACACCATCAAGTACGCCGCCACTGGCGACACCAGCAACGGCAGCACTGCCGACGGCGTGCTCTCAGCGTACTCGGATGCGTCGTTCGCCTCCGACGTTGACACGCGACGTTCCCGCACGGGCTTCGTCGTCTTCTGTTCCACGGGCCCCGTGTCCTGGAACTCCAAGCTGCAGGCCACCGTGGCCACAGCCTCCGCCGACGCGGAGTACATGGCTCTCGCAGCCACCGCACAGGAACTCATGTTCCTTCGCCAACTCCAGGAGGAGCTCACCGGCGCCGTCCTGTGCGAGCCCACGCTCGTCCACACGGACAACCAGCCGGCGCAGCGCGTTGCCGAACACGCCGCCTCGCGCATGCGGCACATCCTCGTCAAGTACCACTACATCCGCGAGTGCGTCGACACAAAGAGGATTGTGCTGAGCTACCTCGCCACGGAGCATATGATCGCAGATCTTCTCACGAAGATCCTCCCTCGGCCCAAGACGGCTCAGTTCTGCACGATGCTGTTCGACCAGCGTCCTCTGCCAGGCTGCCAGCCACGGGCCCGTCCTCATTCGGGCCGGTCGCCACGTCCTTCGACTCCGCGTCAGGACCTCTGAGCGGCCGCGCACCACAGGACACGCCTTCACTCGGGCCAGCCTTCCACAACAGGCTGCGCACCACAGGCACCAACCATTTTCTTAAACGTGTTCCACAACACACGTCCTTACTCGCATCTCACCTACCTCTGCCCATGCCATTCCTACATGCATGACATCACCATCACCATCAATCACGTTTCAGAACGTCAACGCAGCAGAGAGGTAGGTCAATGCGGGGGAGTGTTGACAGGCAAGTCCTGCCTGCTGAGTCATCATTGACCTCCTTTCTTCACGACACCACAAATTTGCATTCACCTCTCTTGTGTTCTGGAATGTTCACGTGATTTCCCTCCAACCTGTTGCACGTGCAGTGTTTAGCTTGTGTGGTTGCTCGATGTTACATGCTCTTGCATGACACACCACATAACCACACACACAACTCTCAACAAACACTGCCACGTCACCACTTTGCGTTGTCGACAATTCTTGTCTTGTGTTCTGTTTCTTTCTGTTGGAGTGTTCATTCATCCTACATCCTTGTTTGCTTCACAACTCAAGTAAACACACACAACTCTCTCTTGCCAAGACAATCTCCCACACAACACACAGCACACACAGCACACACAGCACACACACACACACACACACACACACAAGTCTCCAACAACAGCACCACCACCATGAACTTGCAACATCCACGCTCTCAGGCTACCCCCTTCTCCTCTTCACCAACGGAGAAGCAGACGTCAACGCCGGCCAAGGATGGGCCCGGCTCAAGGACCACTACGCTTCGCAGGACCGCCTCCGCATCGCAGAGCTCAAGGAGGCGCAGCTTCACGTCCCCTGCGGCAACCTCGCCCGCTTCTTCGAGCGACACATGGAGCTGCAGCAGCAGTTGCAGGACGCAGGCGTGCGCCAGGACAACGAGGACCTCTTCACCATCGTCTGGAAGCAGCTGCCACGCTGGACAGCCCCGCTCACGCTTCCCTACTTTGCCAGTGGCCGCTTTCCCTCCCTCCTCGAGCTCAGCATCAGGCTGCAGCAGCTGGAGCAGCAGATGCGTGGTTCACGCACACAGCCGCAGGCAGGCGGCTTCATGGCAAGCGCACCGGCACGCAGAGGTGGAAGACGCGGCTTCTCAACAGCAGCAACAACCACGGACGCCAGGGGAGGCAACAACGGGAGGTAACGGCAACAGCTAACAGCAAGGGGCGCCGCTTGCGGC